TGCAAGCATGAGAGACCAAATGAAGAAGGCTATTCACACCTCTCATTTAGGGGAAGAGTCGTGTCTCAGGAGGGCCAGAGAAGCACTATATTGGCCAGCCATGAACGCGGAAATCAAGACCTTCATATCAACTTGCGACACATGCCGCAACTATGAAACCAGCCAGTGCAAAGAAACTATGATGCCACATGAACTACCTGGTAGACCCTGGGAAAAGGTTGCCATCGACCTATTTACTTGGGAAGACAAAGACTACCTGGTGACGTCAGATTATTACACCAATTTCTGGGAGGTGGACAGACTGAAGAGAACCAACTCTTCAACTATCATCAGCAAACTGAAAAGGCATTTTGCCAGACAGGGAATACCAGAACAGGTTATTAGCGACAATGCTCAAAATCTGACATCCGATGAATTCCAGAGATTCGCGAGAGACTGGGATTTTGAACACGTCACCGTGAGTCCGTACAACAGCAAAGCAAATGGCAAGGCGGAGTCATCAGTGAAGGCAGCAAAGCGGATGCTACGGAAGGCGAAGAAGTCCGGAACTGATCCATATCTCACCCTGCTGGAGATTCGCAACACCCCAACACAAGGAATGGGCAGTAGCCCCATGCAGCGTTTGAATAACCGTCGGGCACGCACCCTGTTACCAATGACACCGAACCTACTCAAGCCTCGGGTGATCAACGTTGAAACAGAGAGAGATCAAATGCAACAGCTGAAGAATAGACAAACGAAGTACTACAACAGGAACTCAAAAGATCTGCCTGCACTGGAAGAAGGTGACACCGTAAGAATGAAGCCTTTTGCTAAAGGACAACGAGAATGGAAGAAAGGTGTTGTAGTGGCTAGGCTCGATGAGAGGTCGTACACAGTGGACACACCAGATGGCAGTTACAGACGTAATCGTGCGCACATTAAACGCACCATGGAGGAACCACCGCCCACTACCATGCAACGAAAATCATTACACATACCGCCAAGGAAGACGGGTGGAAATGAGTCAATAGCACCGAGGACGACGGGTAACACAGAGCCAATCCACAGGCCTATTGGCCACAACATATCTGCAAGAGAAGAACCCATGGCAACATCTAGAGAGAAGAACAATTTACATACGCCGACAAAGAAATTTCCCCCTCAACCAATACATACTTCTCCCCCACTTGCACCACTTCAGAACAATCACAACACCACCAGGTCAGGTAGAGCCGTCAAGAGACCCGCTCACCTAAGCAATTATGTACCGTGAGCGATGATAGGTGATCGATAGGGCCATCAGTACAATCTGACACCATACACCCAGGAAGATTCTAACTAAGTTGTTTTTAAGGATACAAAACCTACATCAATTGAACTGTAGGTCAGGATGATATTATTTGAATGTGGCATTTGTTAAAGTCCCTATAATAATGGAAAATTCGTTTGTTATCGTTGTCACTTAATTGACATTTGTTAGTTGACTGTGTTGTAAACAACTGTGTTGTATAGGTACGCTGTATACAAGGTTCCACGTGCACAGTGTTGAGAGTTTTTGAGTTATTTCATATAGGAGAAAAGATGTATCACACCGCGTAGTCTTGTTCTATGTGTTCCCGCCTTGTACGTGTGAAGGGTCACGTGGTGTGATCGTGGTAGTTGGAAGAATGCGGAATAAGAAGACGAATAAACTATGTGTGTTATCTTTCACTCTGAGTTATGTTTATACTGGCGTGTTGCATGAACGGACCGCTGGCTTGGTTGAGTGCCAATAGAGATCTCTTCCATCACGACTTGTCATGCAATGATAGAATTCAGCAAGTCGTCTTTGCGGAGACGCGTATGACACACTGAATTGCATCGTGCTGTGTGGACAGTATAGCGGCTTGTTATAGCTACAAAAATCCGATCGTTTCATTACGTTCGGACACTTCATGGCACACGAGAGGGAACGGCATTAAACATCTGGGGCCGGTTTCACGAAGCGTGATTAACTTTAATCATGATTAAGGACTTAATTACGCTTCGTGAAACCGGCCCCTGTTTTGTCCACTGCAAAATTGTATCGGTTTGTAGCATAGTGTGAAATTTGTACAAGATTTCAAATTTAAGATTCACGGCATGGCATACAGCTGCAAATGGTAGCAGACCGTTGGTGGATAGGTCGGTTTTATGCCAAAATCTTATAGCACCCATGATGTACTTACTATACGTGTATGCGCGCCCGGGGGGGGGGCACTTGCCTCAGAACTGGGTATAGGGGGGTGCCTCCCGGACCTTGAAAACCTGACCCTGTCGCAAACCGCTTTGCACATTTCGGTTATGTCCTGTCCTGTCAATATAGGCAGATATTGGTCCAATATCGGCCTGGTGATATTGGCCAAATATTGTTTTGCTAATATTGGGCCAATATTGGACAAATATCTGCCTATATTGGTCCAATAGTGACCTGGTGATATTGGCCCAATATTGTTTTGCCAATATTGGTCCAATATTGGTAAACTATCTGCCTATATTGGTCCAATATCGGCCTGGTGATATTGGCCAAATATTGTTTTGCTAATATTGGGCCAATATTGGTAAACTATCTGCCTATATTGGTCCAATATCGGCCTGGTGATATTGGCCAAATATTGTTTTGCTAATATTGGGCCAATATTGGTAAACTATCTGCCTATATTGGT